CTCTCTCTCTCTCTCTCTCTCTCTCTCTCTCTCTCTCTCTCTCTCTCTCTCTCTCTCTCTCTCTCTCTCTCTCTCTCTCTCTCTTCCGCCCGTCTGTCTTTTTGTTTTTGCCGTTCCTTTTCTGTGTTTTCTTTATTTTCGTATTTCTTTTTCTTTTTTTTCAGTTTTCGTTCTAACTACCATTTGTGTCATGCCGACAGTACCGGGGCCCGGCCTTCAAGCAGCGACCGGGCCTTCCCTTGGCCGACCCCCGAAGGTGTCGGCGCGTTAACGGGAAGTCCTTTTTGTGTCCGCAAAAGGCCAACAAAGCTTTGGCCGTGAAAGTGGTTGGATGCATTTCAACGGCGCTAGCGTGAGTCTGGTTCTCGTTAGAGGTGGACCCCACAGGGGAAAATCTCGGAAGAACTCTTCCGCCGGCTGTTCTCTCGGACCGCACAGCCTCTGGAAAAGTGTCTGGAAGTCCTTTTTTTTGTATTTCCCAGACCCCACCGCCCGGAAAAGTGGCGCCTGGAAAAGAGAAGAGCGAGTTTCCAAGTACTTTTCCGGGCGGAAAACGGCCGATCCACGTCAGCCTCGCCGAAATTTTGTGGCAAACGCAAGGGGTAGGGGGGGGGCATCCCCCTACGTCTTCCAGACTTGGAAGATCGCGCAGGTCCATTTTGTGTCCGCAATGCCACCCACGACCCGTCAGCGGCCACCCCGCAGGTCCACCACGGCCTACCCGGGCTTCGACGGCGGACAAAACAGCCAAACTGGTCCGAAAGTCTGGAAGAACTCTTCCAAACGTGTGGAAAAGAGGCACTTCGGTGGGGTCCCGTCTTTTCTTTTCCGAAACCTTCCAGGACTTCCGCGTCGCTTTACCACGGAAACTTCCTTTTCCAGACTTTGGGCGGTGGGGTCCACCTCTTAGACACTCCTATTGAAATCCTCGGGCAAAAGCAAAAATTCCTTTTGGTTCAAAAGGAAATTTGGGCCCTTCGTTCCACCTGTCCTCGGGGACGTCGCCCGAGGACATTTCCTTCGAGCGATGTCAGAAAGAAAAAAGAAAAGAAAAAAAACATCGAATGTGCTTGAGGCCTTCAACCCATAGGGTGCCGCCACGATCCAGATTCTCGGTTGTAACGTCTCTGTATCCATGTGCCCGCTCCTCTGTACCCATGTGCCCGCTCCTCTCCGTGAAACGCGGATTCCTTTTGCCCAAGGGACCTCGTGAGGTCCCTTGGGCAAAAGGAAGAAATGGCTGGGGAATCCTCGGAGCCCAAGGAATTTCCTTCGGAGTGTTTTCACTTCTTTTTTTTCCGACTGCATCCCCGAGGATAGGTGGAACGAACAATTCCTCGAGGACTTGACGCGCCCAAGGAGTGTCTAACGAGCCCCTATGCCCTCAGCGCGGGCGTTTTGAGCACGAGGAATATGCGCTGCCTTGCTGGCAGGGAAAGGAAGAAAAGAACAAAAGGAGAAAAAAAAAAAGAACAGCACCATTCGTAATGGTGGTCAGATGCATTCTGGAAAGTGATCATTTGAGTAAGTCCTTCCAGGACATCATTGATCTCTAGCATGTTTGTTCCTTTCTTTTCTTTTCTTTTTTTTTTTCCCTTCAGGTAGACCGCCGGCACCGGTGCCACTTCCGAAATTCCCACTGCAGGTAAACCCTCACGCAGAAGGCTTGGGACATAGCGGCGTGCAGTGGGCAGGTGGCTTTGGGATTTTAGGTGCGGGTGTACTGGTGGTTTAAGGACCGGTAAGGAGGGCCTAAAGCCAGGGCTGTTTGAGGGGCAGAACACAAATGAAAGCATTTCTGAGTGGCATGGCAAAAAAATTCCCTTTTCCTGAAAAAGAAAAAAGAAACTCGTAACAAAGCCATTTTCTCCTCTCATATTCCCTTTCCACTACCTACCTACCACTACTATTTTGGGTGATCGGAGATGGAAAGAAGAAGGGGGGGGGGGGGGGTAGAGAGAGATTGGAGGCAGGAAGTACAACAAAAGAGTGTCAGGGATAGACTGCATTGGATGGAATGGTTTGTCTCAACTTGGGCCCTTAGCAGACACCTGCCCCAGGTCGAAAATGGCAGAGTGGTTCTTCTCACTTGACTGTTTGACCAGAGCCTCTCTCTCTCTCTCTCTCTCTCTCTCTCTCTCTCTCTGTGTGTGTGTGTGTGTGTGTGTGTGTGTGTGTGTGTGTGTGTGCCAGAAACATTTTGCATTCCTCAAAGAGAGAAGGAACCCTACCTTAGTCAAGGAGAGAAGCAACCCTACCCTAGCAGGTACCTACCTCTAATTGACCAAAAGGTCCTGCAACGTATATGCAAAACAAGCCCGCAAACGGAAACAGAAAGGAAACTAATAAAAACAAAAGAAGGAACGGACTTGCAAATGAAGAATGAGCAGGAGACAATTTGAGGAGAGGGACCTCCCGTCCTCCCCCCCTCCGCCCCCTCCTCGTTCTGACTGTATCAACCAGGCACACTTCCATATTCGAAATGATGCCTGCCATGTATTCTATTAGTGGGGAAACATGGCGGAAGTGCAACACGCTGAATTCGAGAACAAACAGATTGCCCGAAAACAGAAAACAAACCACCCACCCCATGAGTCATGATCTCTCCACCACCACCATGATTCCCCCCCCCCCCACATGACGGATAATGATACACCTACTGTCCCTCTTTCTCCTGCTCCTCCTCCTCCTCCTCCTCCAAAAGTCACGGCGTGTTACAATGATGAAGGACCGGGCCACTACGGAAGTGCCCAACTTCATCTGACTAGAAACCTTGTACTACTTGTATTGACCATCGGCCGACCTTGTTGTCGACCTTCTGGCCGACGATGACGTAGACCACGGGCCGCTGCCTGAAAGTCTGTGCCCCTCCTACCGTCTTCCCCCGAACATAACGCACCCTGAAAATGAACGTATGCAAGGCATGTTTCCGGCCCGATACAGTCAAAAATGAGGGTGCGTTGTGTTCGGGGGAAGACGGTAGTCGAGCGGCTCGTGCTGCCTGTTTTCAGTGCACCCCATTGTGACCCCCCCCGCGCACCAACGGGAGCCTGGCCAAGGGACTGGCCACTACCGGTAGGGATGTACGCGCCCAAAGCGCCCAAATTCATCCGACTACCGTAGAAACGCCTCTACTCTATATTTTCCCACCGCCGCTACTCTATATATTTTCCCGTCGGCTGCTGCATGGGCCAATTAATTACTGGTGGTTCAAGTTCTACTTGTGTTAAGCGTCGGTCGACCTTGGCGGCTGTCTAGCAACTGATGGATAGATTGCACGGCTTTGAGATGCATCAACTGACGCTCTAGGACTGGTTTGTTCGATGCCTCTTTGGGATGCTTCTGCAGCCAATTCAATCCTTCCAGAAGCTTCGGCGCCCTGATCGTCTTGTACCTGCTCTGCGGCCTAACATACCCTCCGCCTACTCCTGCAGTTGACCCTCGTCTAACCGAGTTTCGAACCAGGAGATTGGCCAGGCTGTCCGGCAAATCCCGCTCAGAACCTTTCTCCCTTCGCAAGTACCGAATGAACACATCCTTCATGTCGGCGTCCATCGCCTCGGCGATGAAGACTGGAAGCCCAGTCTCGGGGTCAATCGCTCCGTCAGTGAAATTCTTCATCCTCTTCGCAAAAACTTCCGCTAGGGTTAACTTCTTCAACTTCTTCTGTGCATCTTTCATCCTCTCGATCCATGGTCTGTTCTGCCTTTTCCACTTCTGGTCGGCATTCTCTGCTGAGAGAGCAGCTCTCTCTGCCTCAGCTGCATCTGCCTTGGCCATAAGTCGCTCCCTTGTCGCCTTGTCGCCCGCCATCACCGCATCCATGAGCTTCTTGCGTCGGTAAGCCGTAGCAAGGAGCTGAAAGGGAAGGGTCTGGGCGTTCTTGTTGTCGTTGTTTCGTTGTTGCTGGTCTAGTTTGGTGGTCATGATCTGTTCGAACTCAGGATACTCCACCTCGCCCGAGCCATCGCTATCAACTTCAGCGAGCATCTTCTCCACCTCAGACTTCTTCACCCTAAACCCTAGCACCTTGAATGCGGTTATCAGCTCCGTAGCGTCGATCGCACCGGAACCGTCGGAGTCAATCAAGTCGAAGCACTCTCTGAGCTCGACCTTCTGAGTCTGGGTGAGCTTCGGACGGACATACTTACCTCTCTTGCGCAGCCAATAGGCAATGCGTAGTCGTTCTACAGTCAGCTGATCGTTGTCAGCGTAATCCATAGCTCATGGGAGATAGCGCGAAGGTAAAGGTAAAGGTAAGGTAAAGGTAAAGGTAGCAAGAACGGAGGGAGGGAGGGAGGAAGGAAGACGTATCCTCCTCCCTCTCCCTCCCCAGTAATCATGGACATTCTCTGTTCTCAGCTGTTGGATTCATATTCACATTTCTCTCATGTCATCATCATCTGCACAAACAACAAACGCAACGGTAGGAAATACACAGAGAAAAGAGAAAACACCACCAGCTATTAGTAAATAAAAGAGCTCCAACATCTGCTCAAACAACAAAAGAAACGGTAGGAAAAACTGTGGAATTGATGTTTACGTTGACACTGTGTTAGTAAGAAAACGTGAACAGTTTGCAAGGCATATGAGTGTGAACGATATACAGAAAACCAAGTTGCGAAATCACACAGATGTCCATCCAAGTAGTCGTGTCCAAGCAGAGAGTACAAATGCACCGAGAAAACCATCCATATAGAGCAATACAATGAAGTAATGAGTCAATGTCCAAGCCCGTAGGCCACACCAACACAGTATCCAAAGTCGCTCCTCTCTGTCTGGCGCCCAGCGCCCAGCCCAGCCTACTCTACCCGACTATCCTACCTACATCTGGTTCACGCAACAGGTTCGCTTCTACTCTCGAAGACCAATGTACATGACTGTCAACACCATAGCCGACCTCTCTTCATGTACCAGGTACTTATCTCGTCACCCTCAATCAGACCTTGATTACCCCACACTGCGCCTCCTTCCCTGAAGACCACCAGATCGCCTGCTGTACCCCCTGGCGCCCAGC